ACCCTACTTTTGTAAAAAAAAAAAAAAGTCCACAGATTCCTAGGGCCTCCGAGATTAAATACACCACGTTAGACTGGCTAACGAAGCCCCCGCCGATGGGGCGCGCACGGGCTTTCCCAGGTTTATGGCCATTATCACCTCACGTGAACTTTCTGATGCAGCCACGGTGATTGATTCTCCTTGGCTGCGTCCTGCAGGCTTCCCTCTGAGAATGATCTATCTGTGCCCCTCTTTTCTTCTTAAAATTACTTCCAAGTCTCAATGTTCAACTCAAATCCCAGCCAAATCGCTCATGAAAATGGCTCAGCCCAGCCTAGCAGAAAATGATTTCTTGGTCCTCATATCTCTTTAGGTACCTGCGTCATAGCAAGGCATGCCATATTTTGTTACACCTTTTCCCGTGCATATTACCCATCTGAGGGTAAGGTCCTGGTGGCAAGGACCCTTTCTTGGGCAGCACAGAAATCCTATATGATAAAAGCGTAGTATGCAAATTGCCCCCTTGACTGGAAGGTCGTCCGGGAGTTCAACCAGGGAGCAGGGCCGGCCGGGGGAAGGGAGGGAGGCCCAGGTTGGCAGCCTACAGCCTCTAGGGACCCTAACAGTGCACAGATATCATGCACTGGGCCTCTAGTCTTCCATGAAAAGCTAGTACATAAGCAAAGGAATACTCTTAGAACAACTTAATATTTTCATGAAATCTCAAGGTCATTTTGATGAATAGCAATTACTGTGTTGTAATACAGCCATGTCCACAAGGTCAAGTGAGTGGGGTATCCTATTAGGAAGCAATTTTAAGGACACTAGGAAAAACATCCTCCAAATCAGAAAAAGTAGAAGAAAACTGAATTAATTATCAAAACCCTGGAAAGTAGCTTTGGCAAAGATGGAAACGCAGAGCAAAACAGGGAGATATTACCAAGAAATGAAAAACAATAAAATATAAAAACTTCTGGGGAGGAAAAGGTCAAAAGGAAAAGAATGTAAGAGGCTTTAAAGGAAATAAAAATGCATCTTGATATGAATATGATAAAAATAAAATGAAAATGTAGAATACAGAGAGAATTGGTTATTTAATTTCTATCTGATTATAATACTTTATTGTCAGAATTGCAGCCATATTGGAGAATATAGTTAGGAGTCATTCAACAATAGTAGCTAAATTTATGCTGAAGATTTTAAAATTTCTTTAAACAATGGAAACTTCAAATAGCCACAAGAGAGTTCAATGGTTGAATGTCAACCTATCAACCTGGAGGTCACAGTTCAATTTCCGGTCAGGGCACATACTCGGGTGGTTGGTTTGATCCTGAGTGTGGGGCATGCAGGAGGCAGAGGACCAATGATTCTCTCTCTCTCCTTCTCCCTTCCTCTCTGAGATCAATAAAAAAAATATATTAAAAAGAAAACAGAATTTCACTGTGAATAGATGAAAAAATACAGTGGGGTCCTGAGAGTTTTCCAAAACATATAGTTTCAGCATAAATGCCCAGAAATTGTTTAGGATGAGACCAGGTATCCTTCAGCCAAGTGTCATGTTTCAATAAACGTCTTCACATAGGTGGACGATAACCTTGATTTCACTAAGTCACACCTTGGTTTACATCTCGAGAAAAACAAAGCAGCATCATGCCAAAGAACTTACTTGCTGGAGGAAAACCTCTCTCATGTCCGAGCCCTCCCATTGAGTTGCCTGGTTCCTTCTTGTTGGCTATGACCACCCACCCACCCAAGTCTTTGATGCATCTGAGAGTCTACAGAGCTGCTGCCCTTGAAAAACCTTCCCTGGTGCATTTACTACTCAATAAAGAAAGCATTTATCCAAAAAATCAGTGCTGCCCCACACCCCTGGCTAACAACGTCCCCATCTATTTTGGCAATGGCTCAAAGACACGGCTCCCAGACGACCCACGATCTCCATGGGGCACCTGTTTTCTTCGGTTCATGCAAGTGAAAATGAGACAACAATATTTCCAAGGGAAACTGTGGGTGCCTGCAATGCTAACCCTGGACGGACGCTCAGGATGAGGCAGAAGTCACTGTTCACAGCCCCGGCTCCTCATTTCAGACACGGAGATGTCTTGCATTACTGCTTGCTCTGATGTGGGACACATTTGTCCGAT